GAGTCAGAGCAGAAGCCCACAATACTGAGTGGGCAATAAAATGGCAGATGAAATTCAGTGCTGACAAGTGCAAAATAATGCACGTGAGGAACAACAACTCTAACTAGACATATATGATGATGGACTCTAAATTAGCTGCCATTACTCAGAGCAGATCACTGGGAACAGCAGCTTAGTGCTCAGCAAGGGCCAAAAAGGGAAAACCAAATGCTAGGGAGTTGCCAGTAACTAGAAAAGGAATTTCTAGAAAACTCTCCTCTGTAACAGAATAAAGGCATGGTAGGCACCAGCCTTGAACACGACATTAATTTCTGCCTCTATTCCTATCTAAAAAGACTTCAGCAGCAGTAAAATCAGAGTCCAAGAAATTACGTTGAAGGGTCTTATGCTTAAAACATGGCCAACTAAAAGCACAAAGGAGGTTGCTGAGGGCCTTGTCCATTCAAGCTGTAAGCATCTCCAAGCATGGAAATTCCCCCATCTCTCTACATAGTATTTTCCAGCACTTAACTGCTCCCATCAATAAAAATATTGTCCAAATACCTGCTCAGAAGTATGAGAGATTTGAGGATCTTTTTTTGAGATTATTTTGAGAATGTTCAGCAGTACAGAGTGACATCTGTAAACGAGGAGAATAAATAGATTGGGACTTGCAGCTTAGAAGAGAGAGAGAGAGAGGACAAAAAGTGAGAATGTCTTTGGGGTTTATGGGATACAAGTGACAGACTATATGCTGTTTCTTCCACATTGCTAGAGGAAGGAGGTTCCTCGTGAAGCAACGATTTAAAACAAGTAAAAGCTGCTTCTTCGCTAGTTGCATAATTGAGTTGTGGATCTCTTTGGCTGAAGATGCTGGGGAGACCAAAGGAATTGGTTGGCTCAGAAAAATATTAAGCGAATTTCTGAAGAGCTCCTCAGACAAGATCTGGGGATAACTTTTGGGCGAGGAACAGCCTGGGCCATAGACTAGGAGAAAGAACCCAGTTCCTACTTGTTCTTTCCCTTGGCGTCCATTGACCTGACCCCTTACAGTAGTTATTTAGCTTTGAAACTCTTAACCTAACATTGAGACCTAAATGTTTCAGATGGTGTCCTTCAAAGGCCCTTAGTTAGCTAAAATACAAATTGAGCTATGTTGTAACCACCCTTGTGAAAAGCTTCAACTCTGCAATCTTTATTTTGAAGCGGTGGTCTTAAAAGGGAAATACATTCCTCAGTGGCAGTGTGTGTTGAAGTCCAAAGAAACGTGATCGTGATTTACGATAAAGTGAGATTGCAGTTTCAAAGGGTTGCAGACAAATCAGGCTACCTGCTTCCTTCCTTCAGGCCCTCCTCTATTTTATCTAAGTCCAGCTCTTAAGGGCAGTAGAATGGCAGATGAGTTTCTGGGAGGAGTGCTGGATGTGGAAGAGCTACATGACAGGAGGTGGCACTTTCTGTTGATGAGCTATGAAGAATGCCTCTTTTCCAAACTGATCTGGAGGCTCTCTGAAGCGCTCTGCGCACTTTTTTGTTGCTCAGTCTTCCTTTCTGTGCCCTCTCCTTGAAGTGTAGTGCATCTTCGTATGCATTCAGTTGACCAGAATATAAGCCCAAAGTTCTCACCCAGAGAAATTAAATCCAGTTCTGTACTTACTTGCAGAAAACAGAAGACAAGAGCTAAATTAAAGTATTTGCAGCCCTATAGATTTTGTTCATTATGCTTATCTAGACAAATTAATTTAGATGCAGGGCAGATAATGTGCTGTTGTCCCCAGTCTCATTGCCCTAAATACTGCAGCTTATTCCATAAGTAATTGTTGCAAAAAGGCAAGTCACAAATTCTCTGCAGCTTAAAGTAAGAGCCCTTGTATTTCTCTTGTGCCATAATTCCAGCCCTGTCAAATCAGGCAGCAAGGATGCCAAGCTCTCCTTCTCTTGGCAGTTCATTGAACAGAATGTTTTCCAAGATGGCTTTTAAACTAAAGGATCTTAGGTGCAATTGGATCAGCCCAGAAATAATGTCTTCATCCCTGGGACTCTCAGAAGTCAACATGCTCAAAATGTAGGGGAATCAAAGAAAAACTTGTTGAGAGCATGAGATGAAGAGAGAAGATTTTGAGAATCGTGGTACACTGTCTCTACCAGTGGCTCAGAAGGAGGCCATCTATGTGTAGTTAGTGATCAGGTCACTGCTTTAAGGACTTCTTTGAGAAATGACAATGAGTGACAGAAGAATAAATGAAGATGTGGAAGCATCAGGTATTCAGATGAAAGGCGAAGAGCAATCACGCTAACCATCACTGCTGATGGAATACATTAGCTGGAGTAAAATCACAGACGTCACTGATGGATTTTGCAAGGAAGGGTGGTAGCATATCTAGTGCTCAGCAAACAGAGGTACGGAGTTCATAGGAGAAGATTTTTGTGATAGCTTGAAGGAAGAGCGATGAGCAAAGATAAATAATGCCGATACATGAAGGAGAAATAGTTTGAAGGTCATTTAATTAGTTTAGCTGCTAGCACCATGGTGTATAGAATTGGGTAGTTAAGACTGGGGATTTCAAGGTTAATGAGATTAGATTATGGTTAATAGAATGATACAAATTTAGAGAATTTAACTATTATTTGAATTGGGTTATTTAATAAAACTGTTAATTAAGGAGGGAATCCATATTGTCATCTTCTCTTTTAAAATTAACCGTCAGGGACTCAGGAAGAAGGGCCCAGCAATGTTCTGGGCAGGCTCAGGAGAAAGGTGGCTGGGTTAACTGGAAACCCCATACAGGAAGCCCTCTGGAAGCCAGCTGGCCATCCTGCATTGTGCCAGCTGAAGACTTCTTTACCTCCAGAGTGAAATCACGGGCAACACTTGTCTGCTCAATCACCCTTCATAATATCATTGCAAGAGGAGCGACATCCCTCACCTTAAAAGCTATTTCAAACAAGCTTTCTGCTTGCATATGATTTTAACCTTCTGACTAGTTATCAGTTGGGAAAGCCTCTTCTCCCTGCCATGACTGTTTGGACTCTGCCTCTAGAGCAGCAGCATCCTGTTCCAGCTTACACTGAGACCCTTGTGTGTGGTACAACAAATGAGGGAGGTGATCACCAATTCCAGCAGAGAAACACAAGGGAGACCTTGCCTCACAGTAGCTCTCCATTGCCACGTGGGCTCTCCTGGGGTTGTGACCATGTCTCTAATTGCTGTGCAGAAGCTATGCATGTTCCATCCTGGCCAGCTGGGATGAGGTGAAAGCTAAAGGGACTCCCCCGCTTTTGCTGGAGATGCTTCTGAGGGGGCAGTACGTATTAAACACGATTCAAGACTTTGGACCAGTCTGTGCTCTGCAGCTCATTTCTTGTTTGAAGCAAGAATCTTGGATCAAGGCAGCAGGAGCTCAGCCTGCCCTGAGGAATCTCCTCCAGGGCGATGCTGCAGCATATTGTGTCCAAAGTCTCCCAAGCATAATAGCACCCAGGAGACTATTAAAAGCCAGTGGAAATGAGAGTAGCCACTAAACTCTAATTTATGCCAGAGCCAGTCTGGGCTGAACTGCTTACTTCTCCCTGTTGGGCTCTATTCTCCACTGGGAGAATGGAGCCCAAGACCTACATGTTGCTGGTACTGCAGTTCACCACTCTGACAGGGGCAAGATTCAGAGCAGGACTCCCAGCAATCTTCTGTGTTATATCCTCTGAGCTAGGTTTTGTCTAAAAGATGTCTAAGCCACAGCAGGCTGGCCAGATATCTCCCACATCTTAAGAAGGTTCTGAGGCTACTTGTGAATGTGATTTTAAACCAATTTTGACTACTGCAGCTCTCCTGGGGCAGGCAGAGCCAGTTGTGATGAGGAAAAGCAGCAGTATTTCCAGACTACAGGGAAAAGTCTTGTGATTTTTAAGCAGGGTAAAAAGAGACTCTACAAAGTTGCAATGGGGATACAAGCTCTCAGAGGACAAAAAAGCTTGCACCCAGGCAAAGGCAAGGATGGTATACTTGTGGGAGCCTATAAAGCCTGCCTGTATGCTGAGCAGAGGTGCAAAGAAATGACAGATAATGAAACCACACTTACAGCTTGCAGAGGGAGAAGAAAGCGGCAGTTAAAATAACATACACCAAAAATGCTAGAGATGGAGAATTTTGTACTTGCATGACCCAATTTGTTATGGCAGACAGAAGATTACATGAAAGGATTAAGCTTTGCTGTCCTTAAGGTCACATTAGGGGTCACAAGTTTGTGGCCTTGCCTGATCCCTGGCTTGCAGGGGAGCAGAAATCAGGATGCTTTTTTATGGGGTGGAAGGGACTCATTCACTGCATTTGAAGTCAGATTACTTCACTCCCACAGCCACAAAGCTGATAATGCAGAGAATAAGCAAGCAGTGGGCTAATCTCAAACAGGACTTTGCATTCCTCCTGGGGGAGGCTCTAGCAGTTCTTTCCCAAAGGGTGTCACAGCACAACTCCCCTGGCACAACAGCAGACGTGACTGCAGCGAGGCGGGGTTGCGCTAAGCAGCGTTTCTCTGCAAGGAGCATTATCCTCTTCCCTGGAGTTCTCTCTCTTTGCTTTGGTAAAGTTTACTAGCTGCTTGTTAAGGAGCTAAGAGAGCTGAAGCCGAAAGATCTGAAATCTTTCCCTGGCTAAGTTTTCCCATGGTTGACTTGAGGCTGGAATACTAATATTGTATCCGTCTCCATCCTCAGCATATCTGCCAACGTCTCTGTCTCAACAAAGCAGCCCAAGGACATCTATCAAGATCTAAATGTTACTGTAGGGACTGTACTTTCTGCACAGAGCCATCTTTTAAGCATGCAGATATAGGGACAGAAAATGCAGGGACAAAGGATGACTGCAGCTGACTCCTTGTGGACTTGACTCTTTCAAGCATCTTTTCCTCCTTCCCCTGTGCTTTCCCCACAGAGCTCTTTGTGTTTGTAACAGCTTCTCTCCATTTCTCTGTCTTAACAACCCCTTGTCCCACTTCAGACTTTAGGTAGAAAAACTGCAAACGTACCTTCTTGTTTCCTTTGCCTTCCGTTGCATTTGCTGTTGCACTCAGGGCACTGCAGAAAACGTGCCCTGACAAAGTTGCACCAGAAGCTGCAGCATGGCTGAAGATGAGGAAGATACATCGCAAGTAGAGCTGGCTGCATTCGTTTTCTCTTTATCTCTGTCAGGCAGGGAGATACTTACAATTAAATGTGATTTTTCCTGTCAATTATCTCACGCCAGAAGAGAGTTTTAAAATCAATTCCTGCTTTAAAAGTTCAGCGACCTACTTATGTATTTCAAGCCTGTTTGGAGTTCACCTTTCCTCTTGCATTTTGCTATGTCATTCTTTTGCCCTCATTATATGCTTGATGCAGCCAGGCTCCCAGCCATGGTAAATCCCATCATAAACTCTGCTTTATGACCCTCACCACACCGGTGCTAAAACGGTCTGTCTTTCCCCTTCTTGAGCTCCCTGATGGCAGCAGGCAGAGTTTTAATCACTGTGAATTCAGGTTGTGGTCAGATTAGGTAGAAGATAGGATGCGTGTTTGTTGTTTTGCAGTGATGTATTGTTTCTGGGATTACTGTGCTGAATAGCAGAGGGTGTCAGCTGATATTTATTACTTAAAGCTGTCTCAGCTGTTCTGGTTCAGCAAATAAACCTACATTCAAAATGAATGAGGAGCTCTGCTTGCCTTGTATGCCATGATGTGTGCAAATGTGATTATTGCTTCCGAGGCAGGGGAAGCTGGAATCATTGTGGGAGCGTTTTTAGTTATTTATTTATTTTCACTCTTTGCAGGCAATCACGCGCATTTCTAAAGCACACAATGGAGCCAAAGGCTTGACACCTCTCTTCCCTGCCCCATTGTTAAGCCCTGGCATTCCGCTGGCTGGGAAGGCTGGCTCCCTCTCTCTCTAAAGTGATAAGCTTTAAACCATGCTATTGATTGCTTAAGGCGTTACATGTTTTACACCTAGGTTATCGGTGTTATTGAAAGGGGAAGACACAAAGCTACTGGGCCTTAAAATGAATCTACCTCTCGTCTTTTCCCATTTGCTCTGAGGATTTCAGACAATTTGTTTTACGCCAATCTCTGCTGTGGAAATAAATAAATGAAACTGGAGGCAGCAGCCCTCCCCGAGGTTCGAGGTAGCAGTGTTATTAGTACCTGGCCCCACGTGCAGCCAGCCAAACTGGGCTTGCTTATTCTTTAACACAGCATGTTGACCGTTGAACATAATGCACCAAAATCCTCCCAGAGCTCTAGAGTGGCTTTCACCCAGTTTACAAGCACAACCATGTCCCATCCCACCTGCCTTCTTTCTGCCCGTGGCACCAGCAATGCCTTGTAGGTAGGGTAGGGGTGGGTTTGATGGGACATAAATATGAGAACTGTGCATCCTGCGCTCCGTTCTCTGCACCTCACATCAGAGAAGCATCAGGAGTGGGATAAAGTGTCACTTTGTACTTCAGTGGCATATCCCGTTCTGGGACCTCAGCAAGAAACTCGTGCTCAGTTATTCACAACTGAAGAGCTGCCCTATTGCTTGCAATAGCAAGAAGAAGTAGCTGCACTCGTTTTTACACAAGTACCCTAATGAGTGTATCAGCATCGTAAAACATGACCACCTCTATTCTCACTGTGTTATCCCACAGTGCCTGTTTCTCAGAGGCACAGAGTCTACATGCCATGATTAAAGGGACTTTCGTCCATCTGAGCTGATGTGATTTGCCTGGGGACACACAGGAGGCACGCAGCTGTGCAGAGAATTAGAGGCACGCTCTGAATGTGGAGCTGGCTGTGTAACAAACAGCTTAAAATGCACAGTCTCAAAGACAAGGTGGCATGGCCAAGGTTACACAAATGATCTGAACCTAGAATTGAGCCTCGATCTGCTGCTGACATACCTTAACTGCAAAGTGATCCTTCCTTGAAGGACCGAGGCATAGTGACACGATGAGATGATGATACTTTTTATGGTCAGAAGAAGGATTTAATAACTGAGCAATGAAGCGCTTGCCTTTATGCACGGTGGTTTTGGGCACAGAGTGCAGGCATGGGGCAGAGGAGGACTGGAGATTCCCTTTCCCTTCCCTCAACTAACACTGCCTTTCTCTGTCTAAAGGACGGCATGAATTGGGTGTGCAAAAATGTCAATGCAAAGAAGAAATAAAGCACTCTGAGCTGCATGGAAATGGAGGAGCGGTGGGAGCAGAATTCTAGCCTGAAAACACTAATTTGCTGCTTTCTGACCAAATGTTTTTCCATCTGTGCACAGCTACAGCTGTTAAAAGAAAAAAAAAAAGAAAGAGAGAGAGGAAAAAAAAGGGAACACCATCGGTTAAAACCTACTGCTGGATTTGGAACTTGACCTGCTCTTTAGTATCGTTTTTTATCCCAATAAAGGAATTATATATTTCCTCCCTATGCATAAATAGTATTAAATGTCTGATTAGCCAGCAAGTTTGTAAGCAGAAGCAAGACTGATTCAGTGTGAAGCAGAGGGAGTGGTGAGTTACTGTAGTTGCTTAAATGCATAGGAGCTGCCCTATCTGTGCAGGCTTGCAGTTGCTGAGGACACGCTCAGGTGTCAGTCACAGCTTTTCCTCAGTGACAGATAAAACGTGGTTTTGTTACCAATTGTGGGTAGTTTCTTAAAAAAAACTGATAAGAAGTCATTTGTGTAATGAGGGTAGAAGACTTCAGCATATTCCTATAGCCATAAAAGAGGAGTTTGATCATAACGAGACACTGCTACATTGCGACGACGCCGTAGAAGGAAGAGGGTTATGTGTGTATAATTGAAGCTCTTTACAATTGGAATAATGCAGGATGAGCGTGCCTGGGGCTTTTCTCGCAGCTGAAGGAGAATTTAGCCCGGCGTTTCACCTTGAGCCAGCAAAAACGTGGTTCCTGTGTTCAGTAAGCTCCATATGTGAGATTAGTCTTGATGTTGAACAATCCCTGTTGATTTTCCCTTGATGTTAAGGCAACTCCGCAGCAAAATGCAATTAAGTCCGTGATTACTTTCTAGAATGAGATACCAGGTCCCAGGCTTCCTCTCTGCAGTGTGCAAAACCCATTCTCCCGCCCTCCTCAGCAGCCCCGCATGGAGGTGCCCCCAGCCCGCTGCCAGCTGCAGCTCAGCCGGGTGGAGGTGAGGAGCCCGGCAGATGGGAAATGCTCTTTATAGGGAGGTTTTGTTCTCCCCTGAACTGCCTTCACTGCAGAAGGATGCGGTTGCTGAGATAGAAACGCGAATGCGTTTTCCACCTCCTTGTCCGCGATTCAAATCTATCCCCAGCTGACAGCGGGCAGGAGTCACTCAGCGCGCCAAAGCAGCCACGTCCTGTTGAAGCGTGGTGACTCCTGGGCCAGTTTCTAACGCACAGATGGTAAAATAATCCCGCTGCCCTGCTTGCCAGCTTTGTTTGCCGCCTGCCTGTGAAAGGCCAGGGCTGGCTGGGGACCGCCTTACCCTTCCACCTCTTGCAGGCGGGCGGCACGGGGCGAGCTGTGTGTCCTGCGGCATGTGGCTTCACCACGCACCAGCGAGCTGACTCATGGAGCCAGGCGGCCAGCTGACACCCCTGGAGCTCCACGCCTCGCTCGTCCCTTCCCCTGGACATCTCCAGCTCACGGCACAAACATCTGCACTGTGCGTGAAGCCGCCTCCGTGTTAGAGCCCGGCAGATTGAAATTGTCTGGGGCCGCTTCCAGGTCCCCCCGTACATGGGGATGGTTCAGGGGTTGGGCTGCGCGTAGTTCAGCTGTCATTGCTGTGGCTGGGGGCAGAGGGACAGCTGGGACAGCAACTGCTGCAGCAATCCAAGTGTAATCTGCCTGCGTCTGTGAGTCAGCACCCTGAGTGCATCTGTCTGCAGCCCAGGCGGGACGTGCAGACGGAGCGATGCAGCCTGCTGCAAAAAGCAGGGCTGGGAGGGGAGCGGAGGCTCCATCGAGCTGTTAGGCAATAGCTAATGACACAAAGAAGTGACACGCTTCCAGTTGGCATGCGTTGAGCAAGGAGTCGTGAGGAGAGATGTTCATTTAAACAGAGCAACTGTGTTAGCTTAAGGGGAGCCTCAGGAAGCTGAGCCCTCGTGTTTCTGGAGCCAAAGGAGGAGAAATGTATCCCAGCACGTGTATGAGAGATCCCCTTTTCCTCCATATCCGCACATATGCCTGATGAAAGTGCTGTAAAGCATTGCAGCCCCTTCTGGAAGGCATGCTTTGGGCTGTGGGAAACAGTCCCAGGCTTTAGGCTGGCACTGGGTGCTGAGTGAAGTGCTTTGGCTTCTCTTCTCTGCCCCATCAGAACAAAACCCCCCTGGGGGCAGAAGGGAACCCTCCTCACCTGCAGGACTGCAGAGCTAAGTGCTGCCCCGCTCTCTGCTATTTCTTTAGGCTTCCATCAGTTATACTTGGAAAATGTGTGTAAAATGCCGTAAATTTACTCTTGCTCCAGTTTGGAAGGAAAAATTGCCTTACTGAACTCAGGATCCAGAAGCGTTTGCTGGCTCATTCCTTATGTTTGCTGGTTGCTTGGTCCTGCTCCAGCCAGAGCTTTGCCCGTCATCTGGTAGATGAATGTGGTCTACCTGGGAGGATGGAGATGGAGGGTTACAACGACTGAAGTAAATCATCTTGCAGCAATGGCCATAAATGCTCTCTGTACTGTAAGCTCTGTGTATTGACCCGGTAGAAATGTAAAGGGATGTGGGGTTCTGCTCACCTGCCGCTCTGCCCCCAGCAGCACCCGGCTCAGTACCACCTGTGAAGCTGGGAACACAAACGCTGCCCCTCTGCCTCCTGACCCATTTGCTTCATGCTAATGTCCTGAGGAGGCTTTGTCCTTCCAACTCTGCTTTGCCCTCTTTGAAGTGAGATCCGAGCAAAGCAAACCATCTCATTGGTATGGGTGGAGCTCTGCCGCACATTGCATCGATTCATAGATTTTTAAAGCCAGAAGGGACCATTATGTTCCTCTCTCCTGACCTCCCGCATAACACAGCCCATTAAATTCCACCCAGCCAGGCTCGCTGCAAGCTCGATGCCTTCGCTTGAATGAGAGCCCCTCTGCCAGGCAGG